CACTTTGCTTTCTGGTTGTTTTTAAGCTGCCAGGTACCAATGTGACCAATTAGGACAATGAGCTAAACTGAAAGTAACAACCAAGCCATTACTCAAACACTGCAATAATGCAAGGAAGAGACAAAGAACAAGAAAAGTGACGTCTCTTTAATGTTCCCCATGGAACAACATTGGGTCAGAGTCAGTGAGATGTCATGTAATGCAGGTGAAGAAAACATCTCATTGAGGAGAACTGGACCAAAGGCTCCTGTCATCTCATGGACCTGTGGGGCCAGTGGACAGAAAAGGGAGAGGACTAGGAGCAGAGAACTCAACCAAAGTGGAGAAAAAGCCCCTTAATCTAGCATCCCCCTATTCTACGATAAGGAGATCTTAGCAGAGGTGTCTAAAAAACATCTCAACTGAGGCCCCAGATAAGGAGGGCTCCAAAAGGAAGTGCCTGCGCTAGGGATGAAGATATGAACATGTGTATGAACATGAGCAGACAGAGGTAGGGTGGTAGGGATAGGAGAAGAAGCTATATCCTTCACTGCAACTCCCTCCTGAGACTGCAATGAACTGGCTGGGCGCCAAGTCTAATGTGGGGAGGGCAGCTTTCCTCAGGAAGCCTATCAGGTAAAACCTTTGTCATTGCCTGTGGCAGGGCTGAGAGATCACAGATAGGATTTGGTCCTAGAGCAAAATCCCCGTGTTTTGCCGAGGTTGCATGATCATCCACACCTTCAGTGATTTGGGAGAAGGGCACTCAGGACTCAGAGGTAGTTGTAGTCATAGCTGTGGTTTATTACAGTGAAAGGATACACAGGAGAGTCATCCAGGGCAAAGGCATATCATATGAAGTCCACAAAAATTTCCAGAGACTTCTAAAGATCTCTCTCCTAGGAATGAGCGAGGGGAGTCACACAGACTCTTTTTTCTTCAGCAGTGAAATGTAGTAACATGTGCACAACATTTCTGCTCAAGAAAGCTCACTTGAAATTCGAAGTCCAGGGTTTATATGAGGCTGGTCACATAGGCATTCTTTGCCTGCACAAGCATCCATGGTTATCCAAATTCCAGGCTCCAGAAAGAAAGCACCTTGTTATGTGTTGAATTATGTCCTCCAGAAAAGATGTGTTGAATTCCTAACCACAGGTGCCTCAGAATGTGACCTTATTTGAGAATGGGGTCGTTGTAGATATAATTAACTTAGCTAATATGAGTTTATGCTATAGTAGAGGGGGCCCTTAATCCAAAATGACTGGCGTCCTAATAAGAGAGATATTTGGACACAGACACAGAGAGAAAATGGCCATGTGAGGACGGAGGCAGAAATTAGAGTCACGCTATCGCAAACGAAGGAACGTCTGGGGCTACCAGAAGCTGCAAGAGGCAAGAGGCTCCGAAGGGAGCGTGGCCTTCTTATGCTTTGATTTCAGACTTCTAGCCTCCTTAGCTGTGAGACAATACATTCTGTTGTTTTAAGCTACCATGTTTATGGTACTTTTTATGACAGCCCCAGGAAACTACTATAGATTTTGGTACTAGGATTGGAGTACTGCTATAACAAACACAAAAAATATGGAAGTGGATCTGGAATTAGGTAATGGGAGAGTTTTGAGACTCTTGATAGAAAAAACTAGATTGCCTCAAAGAGATTGTTGATAAAAATATGGCCATCAAAGAAAATTTTGATGTGGAATCAGAGAGAAGTGAGGAGGGCCACACAGAATGCTTCTATTTCTTAGAGTATACATATATTGTCGTGAGCAGAATGCTACTAGAAATACGAACACTAAAAGTATTTCTGATGTCTCAGAAATGAAGAATGTGTTATTGGAAACTGGAGAAAAGGTGATCCTTGTTATAAAGTGGCAGAGAACTTGGCTGAATTATGTTCTACTACTTGTAGCAAATTTATAAGCGATGAAGTTGGACATTTAGCTGAGAATACTTCACAGCAAAATATGTAAGATGTGGCCTGGTTTCCCCTTGCTGCTTATAGTAAAATGCAAGAGGAAAGAGATAAATTGAGGTAAGAGTTATTAAGCAAAAGAGAAACAGGAATTGATGACTTGGGAAGTTATTGTCCTGTGCAGATAGCATGCTCTGGAAATAGGGCCAAGGATGTGGCTGGACAATCATTTGCTAATAAGACTGAGTGTGTGAATTGTGGATCCAGTCAATTCTCTCAGAGGATCCAAGAATGAAGATGTGGATATCCAAGAAAGATGTGTGGAGGACATTCCTGTTTGATGGTATGGACTCACATGCTCACAAGATTGAAAAGGTTTTTGAGAATTATGACAGCAGAAACACGCCAGCCTGGCCTAAGAGGGACAGTGACAAGATGAAATGAATGAAGAATGACTCTGAGGGCAGAACCATGGATGAAGAAGTCTGAAAGTACCTCCTAGGACAGAGAGAGTAGGGCTGCCACTCATGTGGGCAGAGAGGACCCACAGGACAGAGCATGGAGCCATAGGAGATTATTCTCAAGCATTGAAATCTAATAAATATGCCCGACTGATTTTTAGAACTTTCTTGAATCCTGAGACCTCTTTTCCTCCTATTTCTACCTCTTGGAATTGGAAATGTGTATCCTCTGAGTGTCCCAACTTTGTATTTTGTAAGTGTATAACTTGTTTTCTAATTTCATAAGCTCATAGATAACAAGAATTTTCTCCCTGTATAGACCATACTTAGAGTCTTGAAGTGATCATATTTAGATCAGATTTTTGCACTTAAAGTTGATCCTGGAATAGTTTAAAACTTTTTGGGATATTGGGATGGATAAATTTATTTTGCACATAGGAAAGACATGAATTTTGGGGAGAGTAGAGGGTGGACTGTTATGGGTTCAATTTGTCCACCAAAAAGATATATCGAAGTCCTCATACTAAAATATATTTATGTACAAGTAGAAAGGTTTGCATAGTAACTGTCTACAAAATTATTTTTGTTCTAAATTTAAATGCACTTGACCATCAGGTACAATCAATGACAATCACAGTTAGGTTCTTCATGTCAATCAAATGCTATAGAGACTTGTCCATGTCTACACTGTGTACAGCGTGTTCTCACTCCAAAGGTAATCATTGCTTATAATAATTATTGACATCATTAATTAAATAATGTAATTGCTTAATGTAACTATTCAGTTTGATCATCACAGCAAAGATAAATTGGCTGAAATCTTAAAAATCAGTATAAGTAGGATAATTTCACTCAAAACTGCTCACGATGTTTCTGGCACATTTCATGTGTCAAATTTATAATCCAAATTTATAATTTGTAATCCCCACCTGCAAAAGGTAGGCCTAAGCAAGAACCAAAGCCTCAGGGTCTATTTGGATATTTACAAATGGAGTTTATGCAATTACCTTTTTCAAATGGTTATGAATATGTTTTTACTATTGTCCATCTATTTTCCAGATGGCCATAAGTTTTTTTCTGCCAAATGGCAACTGCATTAAGAAATAGAAAACAAATCACATGAAACAAAACAAACAAGCAACAACAATTAGCCTCCTAGACTTTGTATTTCAACTTGGTGTGCTACCAACCAAAGATTTTCCAATGATAGAAGTGCATATTTTACAGAGACTGTAATCAAATAGCTGCATGTGTTAGTGCTCATCATCCAGAAACTCCATCATGTTTATCATCCTCTATGAGTAGTGAAAAATAAAAGAACACATAATGCTTGGAAAATTATTTGGAAGATTAACTGCCATGACCTAAGGTATTATCTTTAACTCTGTGGGCGATCAAAACTTCAACGACCAGAAATCATGGGTTATCATTCTCAACTCTCACTCTGTGAGACTAGCAATTACATGTTCAATATCTGACTATCATCTTTTCCAGTTTTATTGTAATATACAAATGTTTAAAACCAACTGGTCTAGGCAGCTTTACCAAAGGAAAAACCTCAGAAATGACATAAGAATGCCCTTGAACTTCATTGGAAAAGGCCATATCAGGTCCTACTAACCCAGCAGTTATCTTTGAGAGCACAGATTCCTGGATCTGTGTTTCTCAACTATCAATGCATCACACTCTCATGATCTGTTGTACTCAGAGCTTGGAAATTAAAACTGAGACTCTTTCTGAATTCTCTAGAAGCAGATGGCATCATAAAGAATTCAGCTTTTCCAAAAATCTTGGATCGAATAGCCAACTTTCAGACTTCTAAGATTTCCAGACCCGGAGTCTGAATGCAAGGAGCTACTAATGCTTGTCTCTTTCTCCTCTTTTATTTTATTTTATTTTACTATTTTTTTTTTTTGAGGAAGATTAGCCCTGAGCTAACATCTGCTGCCAATCCTCCTCTGTTTGCTGAGGAAGATGGGCCCTGAGCTAACATCCATGCCCGTCTTCCTCTACTTTATATGTGGGACGCCTGTCACAGCATGGCTTGCCAAGCGGTGCCATGTCCGCACCCAGGATCTGAACCAGCAAACCCTGGGCTGCTGACGTGGAACATGCAAACTTAACCGCTGTGCTGCTGGGCTGGCCCCTTTTATTTTTTAAATAACTCTCTTTGAACCATTTGTTGTAGCTTAAAATTATAGATTTTTAATTATCAATAACAGAAAATTTAAGATTTTTTCCTTTGTTTCTAATAATTTTCTTTCAATAGCTGCTCCTTGGTATTTGACAACACTAGACTGGTAACATAAAGAACCAAATAGAAAGATAAGAAAACTTGGAAACCTGGCCACTGTGCCACTTTCCAAATTGCGAAATTCAGACATAGTGTTTTTTTTTTTTCTTGACTATGATTAAGAGAAGATAATCTTGCTAAAGGAGACACTTCAAGGGGTGTTAAATGATCCATTTCTTATGTTCCTTAGCATTACAATTCTATAATGTACCTTGTCCAGAGCCATAAGTGATTTTGTGTAACCACTATCTGATGAATGAATTCAACAGAAAAGCATCAATCACACAGGAAACTGATAATCTACTTGAAATTCAAACATTTCCCATGGTCAGGAACTTTACTTGTTTTTCAGATTTGGAAGCTGGATAGAGGTGAGAATCTGGACTCTGACATTCAGCATAAGGATGTTTTCTCTGACGCAAATGCTGGTAAGGAGGAACGACTATAAATGTCCCTGAAACTTTCGCTGTGAACATTGAAAAACTTCCCCCCAACTATTCTTCCCCACTAAAATTTTGCTAAACTCAAGTTGATTACTGATAAACTGCAACCACTATTTTGCTGCTCTACCATCCTGTCCTGTAATTAGTGTAACATAAGTTTCCACAGATACTGGGAATTTCCATAGTGAACATTCTTGGAACAAAACTAAATTTTGACTGATCTTCTTCCATCTGTCATATAATATATTTAAACATGTTGCTTCACTCCTTAACATTCATGTCAAAGGTGGTCTCATTTAGCAATATTTTAATATCAGGTTGAGTGATTGACTTGGCTTGTTTTTTTTCTCCCTCCATGATATGTAATGGGCATTTGTATTGGTCACCAAGAAGAGAAGTAAAAAATGAACAAGAAACAAGAATGTGATGTGTACAGCAAGATAAATGTTCCATCACCAATTTTACAAAGTAGATGGCTTAAAGATAAGTAAGTCCAAAAAGTGCATTCTGTTTCTTCAATTTTAGCAAGGAAATCAAACAGAAATTCACTTAAGCAAATATAAGAGAGTACATTATGTGATTTGGGGTTCGCATAGATAACAGGCCAGGGGGTTGGGTTTGCTTGCTGTAGGGTTGCAAATTATTTACAGATCAAAATAAGGAGAGAATGTGATGGTGGATTAAAATCTTACTGTAAATATGTTTAGGGCTAAATCATAGAAAAAACAGAGTGATGTTAAGGATTATGAATTTTTTTCTTATAAGCAATTGAAAACACTAAACTTTTTAAAATAGATAAAGCTTAACTTCTGCTATACAGATAATTTTGGAAACAGCGTGAATGATGGATTGGAAACATATTGGAAGCAGACAGTTTAGGAGAAGATGATGTACATATGCTCAGGATAGTGTTTCAATGGCCTGACAGTCTCCTCTACTCTAAATTTGGGAGCTGGCAAAGATCAGAAATAAAACACCCCAGAATCATGGCTGGGGGATGGGCCCTTCTTTTTGCCAAGGGGCTTACTTACCCATCTAGTTAAGGAACAGTGACAAGATCAAAGCAAACTAGTTCTCATATTTCAGATAAGTATTAGTTGAGATTCTCTAGTAAACTGCAAATCCATCTCTCACCCTCACACCATACTGAGTTATAGAGGAGCTCTTCAGAAAACGTCAAGGAATCAGGTGTCATTTTGTGTGTGTGTGTGAAATTCTTTGCCACATACCCAATTGTAAAGCTGAAAAAATATCCCCATTCCCATCACTTCTGTTACTTCTTCACCCATCCACCATGTTTAGTTAGCCTCTTTAGAGGAAGCAGGACCTTCCACTCATTTGTTTCATTTATTCAAAGTTAAAGTCCTCAGGAAATAGCTATTTACCCAGTCTGTTGCTTAGAGCCGTTCCATCTCCTCCCTGCTTCTCCTCAAAACAGACCCTACTTGCTATCTTATTTCCTCGGTATCATATATGATTTAATCATATATAATAGTAATAGTTTATCTGGAAAAATAACCTGGTTTACTTGTTAAAGTACTAGCTTTTAGGAAACTCTTGGGCCTTAAATTGAAGCACTACCTCTTAAGCATTTATGAGTTACACAACAATCAGCCTGAGATTTTATTCTAGGATTGTATTTACTGGCTTTGAGATCACACTCGGCAACTGGATAATTTATCTGAATTGATTTCATCATTTATAAAGTGGGAATAATTTGATATGTATCTGTGCATATTTATGTATATATATGGTTTATTATAAAAATTTGGTAATGGATGTTAAAATAATGTTGAAATGACTTACCATTTTTTTTGCATATATCTATTATTCTCATTGTAATAAGCTTTTGCAACAATATAGGAAAATGCTGTGGTCTCTTAACTGAGAAAAGTCCATGTATTCAGCTTTAGGGGTGTTCTATTATATTCTACATCTGGAATTATAAATAACAAATTAATCACATTCAGAAAAATATTAACTGTATAAATGTTTGCTCTAACAACTCCTTAAATGTAAACCTAAATTTTCATCTGAGTTTGCAGGTTTTTTGTTAATTTAGGATATGTTTTAGCTTTATATGCACAATTTTTAATAGTATCACTTTTACACATATGCATTCACCATCTGTATTTTTGTCAGTTCCTAAAATATTACTGACATATGTTTCAAAGTCACTCTCTTCATGACTACTTGGGAATTTAGGTCATGCTGCTTCTTTCCGCCTTTGGGTGTCATTTTACACATAAAACTCCTACTGAAAAATTTGGGTCTCAGCGTCTGTCAAGGTCCTATATAAATTTCACGCTGTGATATTCTTTTCAAATTACAGCTAAAACACATGAAAAAGACACTGAAAGTAAGGAGACATTTATTTATTCAAGAAGTATCAGTACTCAAAGAGAATAGTAAGAATAATGATAAAAAAATTAACCTGGGTCACATTTTTTTAATGATGTTTCATACACACAGCAAAAGAAGAAATATGTTGTTTAATGAATAATCATATGTGAACATCTGCGTAAACACCACCCTAGTCAAGAAATAATAAAATACCACCAGCAACTCATACTCCTCTCCCCTCATCTCATGGCTTTTTCCAATCAAAAACTTAGCTATTTCCCAGAAGTCACTACTATACTGACTTTTGTGATATTCATTTTCTTACTTGTTTCCATGGTTTTCCTATCTACACATCCTTAAAACAGTATACTTTAACATTTTCTGTTATTGAGCATTTTGCTTATAGAATTCATACTTCAGGTAGTCTTTTCTCTGTTTTTTCACCTAATAATATGTTTTTTAACCTCTTCCTGTTGTTTTATGTAACTGTAGTTCCTTTTCATTAAAATGTATCTTGCTTTCTTGCTTTTAATGATCTTGACATTTATGAATTAATCACAATTCATTAATTCATTCTATTGACAAATTTTTTTCTCTACCACTGAGAATCCTGCTATAATTGTACATGCATCCTGGTACCAGCGATTCTGCTAAGTTTATTCTGAAGAGTGGAATAGCTTGGTCTTAAGGAGTGCATATCTTCACCTTTCCTATAGCCAACCCATTTGCCAATATACACTTTCACCAGTAGTGCATATGTGTTAAAGTATTCCACTTCCTACTACTCTTGGACTTGTCAGTCTTTTTAAATTGTTACCACATTATTGTGCATGATAAGTAATCTTACAGCTTTGGCTGTATTTCTCTGATTACTAATGTGGCTTGAGTACCTTTTCTGTATTTATTGGCAATTTGAATTTTTTATTTCAGAAATCTCTATTCAATCTTCTGCCCATTTTCCTATTGGATTGACAGTGTTTTTCTTGAAGATTTATAATGGTACTTTTTTTCCAATTTTTTTTTGTGGTAAAGTACACATATCATAAAATTTACCATCTTATTGTTAGTAAGTACATTCATATTTTTGTGTGACCATTACCACCATGCATCTCCAGAACTCTTTTCATCTGCAAAACTGAAATTTTATATCCACTAAACAATAATTCAGCATTCTCCCCTCCCCCCAGTCACTGGCAACAACCATTCTACTTTCTGTCTCCATGATTTTTGACTACTCTAAGCACGTGAGTACTTATATAAGTGGAATCATACAGTATTTATCTTTTTGTGACTAGCTTATTGCATGCTTATGTAAGATCATGTTCTCAAGGTTCAACCATGTCATAGCATATGTCATAATTTCCTTTCTTTTTAAGCTTGAATTCCGTTGCATGTATATACCACATTTTGTTTGCCTATCTGTTCATCCATTGATGGACTCCACCTAGCTTGCTTTCATGTTTTAGCTATTGTGAATAAGACTGCTATGAACATAGCTGTACAAATATCTCTTCAAGACCCTCCTCTCAGTTCTTTGGGGGTATATACACAGAAGTGGAGTTGCTGGATAAGATGGTAATTCTGTTTTTAATTTTTTGAAGAATTGCCATACTGTCTTCCCCAGGGGCTGTACCATTTTACATTCTCATCGTAGTGCATAGGAGTTCCAGTTTCCCCACATACCAACCAACCCTTGTTATTTTTGTTTACTTTTAAGCCATCTGATGTGTGTGAGATGGTATATCATTGTTTTGATTTGCATTTTCCTAATCATTAGTGATGTTTCGCATCTTTTATTTATTTTATTTTCAATTTTTTGTGAGGAAGATTGACCCTGAGCTATCATCTGTGCCAATCTTGCTCTATTTTGAACTTGGGATACTGCCACATCATGGCCACCAACCAGTGGTGTGTAGGTCCATGCACGGGATCCAAAGTGGTGAACCCTGGGCCACCAAGGCAGAGCGTGTGAACTTAACCACTACGACACTTGGCCAGCCCCTGAGCGTCTTTTACTGTGCTTATTGGCTATTCATATATCTTCTTTGGAGAAATATCTAATCAAGTCTTTTGCCCATTTGTGAATAAGATTGTTTATTTGTTGTTGAGTTTTACGAGTCCTCTCTATATTTTGATAGGAATTGCATTGAATCTGTAGATCACTTTGAGTAACATTGACATTTTAACAAACTTAAATCTTCTAGTTCATTAACATGGGATGTCTTTCCATTCATTTATGTTTTCCTTTCTGAAATTTTTTAGTTTTCATTGTACAAGTCTTTTACCCCCTTGGTTAAGTTAATTCCGAAGTATTTTATTATTTTTGATGCTATTGTAAGTGGAATTATTTTCTTAATTTCTTTCGGGATTATTCATTGTTAGTGTATAGAAATAAAGCTGATTTTTGTGTGTTGACTTTGTATCCTGTTACGTTCCTAAAATTGTGGAATTTGTAGGGTTTTCTACATATAGCATCATATGTCTGTGAACAGAGATGATTTTACTTCTTCCTTTCCAAATTGCATGCTTTTTATTCCTTTTTCTTGACTAATTGCTCTGGCTAGAACTTCCTATGTTGAAAAGAAGTGGCAGAAGTAGGTATCTTTACCTTGTTCTTGAACTTAGAGGAAAAGATTTCAGTCTTTCGCCATTAGGTATCCCCTACAATGGTGTCATCCAATTAGAAAAAATGGTATAAAATCCATCCCTTACTTTAGCTGACATGTTCAATTATAACAGTTGAGTCATTGAAGGCATTCAGGTCAACTTTAAATCACTGACCAGGGTTCTCATGGGTGATGGGATTTCCAACTTACAAGCCAAAGAAGAGTTTTCACAATCACAGATATATTCTACTGTGTCTTGAGAAATGCCCCCAGCCAAGTGGAAGGATCAGTACGGAAACTTAAGGAGATAGTTACTTGGCTTTCCAAGGTGGATGCTGATGGTTTATGGACGTTCAGCTGGCTATGAGTTGTTATGCTTTTTTTTTTTTAATATTTCTGGAAAAATCTTAGTCATTGTCTCTTCTAATATTGCCTTTGTCCCCTGTTTTCTCTCCAACAGCTCTCAGTAAACGATATAAGACTTCCTCTCTTTGTCCTCCATGTTTTCATTACAATGATGTCCCATTTTTCATTTTTTTGGGTCTGAGTACTCTATCTAGATAATTTATTTTGATCTAACTTTTCAGTTCTCTAATTTTCTATATATTTTTTTCAATCTGCTGTCAAACTTATCTACTGAGTTTTTAATTTGGTCACTTTCTTTTTTCTTTTTTTACTTTTACAAGTTTTACTTGAATATTTTTCAAATCGTTTCATTCCTATAACAATTTTCTGTTCTCTGCAGATGTGCTCAAGTTTGTCTTTTTTAATGTCGTGAAAACTATTTGTTTTTATAATCTGTGTCTGATGGCTCCAAAATGTGTGATGACCATGTGGGTGTATTTCCACTGTCTATTTCTTTCTGCTTGTTCATTCTTCTGTTACTTGAGTGATTGATTATTTCTGATTTTATATTAGTCACTATCCTTGAAAAAGAGTTTTTGGGCTTCTGAGTAGCTGAGATGAATACACGTCCTCTAGAGAGATTTTATGTTTGCTTCTGCCAGGTTCCTGTGGTATTATAATTTAGACACCTCCTCAATCAGATTCAACAGTTGAATTCCCTTGGTCCTCCCAGAATGTGTCCTTAGGGTGTTAAGTCACGTGGCATTCTGTCTTTGTCTTTAAGTTTCTGAGGCTGGATATTTATTTCTGGTTCCAGCTTACCCCCAGAATTCAGCCCTTAATTTAGAGAATCTGCATTTGGATCTGTCACCTTAGAAGGCCTTATGCTTTCACTTCTGTCTTCCTTGACATATTACACCCTCAAAAGTGAGAGCTCAAATTTTTCAGGGTTCACACATGCCCTTAGGCTCTGTATACTGCTTAAGAGTGAAGTTTTGCCTTCTGTTGTGTTTTTGACTGATTAATTCCTTATTATTGTATCATCTCTTTGATGTTTGAAGTAAGGTTTGTAAAGATATTTTATCTAGCATCTTTAGTTATTTTCATTGGAAGAGTTAGTCTGAATAATGTTGAGTGCCATTGGAGGAAGAGTTTGCTGAAAAATGTTTTAGTTTTGTTTTGTTTTATTATTAGTTTTATCTTATAGTTACTGCGTATTTATCACACACCAGACATAGTATTAAATAGGTTCTTTTATCCTTGCAAAAACCCTACAGTATACATTTGAAAAATTGCCCAATGTCAGTATACGCACAAAGAAAAATATCTATATGTTAGAAAAACATTAGCATTTGAAATATGAA